TGTATACTTCACTCTCGTGTTTAGAAGAGTTGTGCTTATATATATATATATATATATATATATATATATATATATATATATATATATATATATGCAAATTAAAGGTATTTAAATCAGGTATTTTTTTATGCAGTCATAACATATTCGATTACAACATCAGTATTAAACTGGAGATATACATGAGAAGACGACAGTCTGGAAAGTCATACCCGATAATAAGTTTGGTCTATGGTGTTAGCTTTCCATATCATTTTGACTGAGGGATCGTGCACAACATCTTCAAGGGTCTGGTAGGGATGAGGAATGTATCTGACTGCCAGGAGAGCCAAGAGGTTGCCAGAGTAACTCCTTGTTAGTACCAGCATCACCATCATCCACACCAGCATCACCATCCTCTCCCACCACCACTCTTCACATGTCCTTAAGTCTAAACAAACAACACTATGTAAATAGAAACATATAATATATATGTATGTATATATATATATATATATATATATATATATATATATATATATATATATATATATATATATATATATATATATATATATATATATATATATATATATATATATATATATATATATATATATATATATATATATATATATATATATATATATATATATATATATATATATATATCAACCCGTTCTCGCAAATTTAATAAGTCAATATTGACTTATTAGTTGCGTGCATAGGTGACATACTAAACATAATAGTTTCCCTTGAAAAGCTTCATAGAAAACACCGACCTTACCTAACCTACTTAGTGTGTTAAAATAAGCATCTTATAGCTTCGTAATTACAATTGTTACTTAACCTATTATAGGTATAGGTTAGGTAATAATTGTAATTACAAAGCAATAAGATGCTTATCTTAACATACTAAGTAGGTTAGGTAAGGTCGGTGTTTTCTATGAAGCTTTTCAAGGGAAACTATTATGTTAAGTATGTCACCTATGCACATATTTAATAAGTCAATATTGACTTATTAAATTTGCGAGAACGGGTTGTATATATATATATATATATATATATATATATATATATATATATATATATATATATATATATATATATATATATATATATATATATATATATATATACAACTTTAGAACACTTTCCCACCAGGAGACTCGAACCCTAGCCAGCACAGAAGCCTTCCAGCAACTGGCATAACAGGTACGCCTTAACCCGCTCCACCACCTACTCAGACCCTTAAAAGAGGTGGTAATTTCGGAGTATTTAAATACACCAAAGATCACCACCTCCCAAGAGCACTAGAGCAAGTGAGGGGTCATTTATACGTTTATTTCATCAAGTCCCTGTTAATATGGGAAGACACAGTGTCTATGCTTAAGGCACAACTCTTCTAAACACGAGAGTGAAGTATACAACTTTAGAACACTTTCCCACCAGGAGACTCGAACCCTAGCCAGCACAGAAGCCTTCCAGCAACTGGCATAACAGGTACGCCTTAACCCGCTCCACCACCTACTCAGACCCTTAAAAGAGGTGGTAATTTCGGAGTATTTAAATACACCAAAGATCACCACCTCCCAAGAGCACTAGAGCAAGTGAGGGGTCATTTATACGTTTGTTTCATCAAGTCCCTGTTAATATGGGAAGACACAGTGTCTATGCTTAAGGCACAACTCTTCTAAACACGAGAGTGAAGTATACAACTTTAGAACACTTTCCCACCAGGAGACTCGAACCCTAGCCAGCACAGAAGCCTTCCAGCAACTGGCATAACAGGTACGCCTTAACCCGCTCCACCACCTACTCAGACCCTTAAAAGAGGTGGTAATTTCGGAGTATTTAAATACACCAAAGATCACCACCTCCCAAGAGCACTAGAGCAAGTGAGGGGTCATTTATACGTTTATTTCATCAAGTCCCTGTTAATATGGGAAGACACAATGTCTATGCTTAAGGCACAACTCTTCTAAACACGAGAGTGAAGTATACAACTTTAGAACACTTTCCCACCAGGAGACTCGAACCCTAGCCAGCACAGAAGCCTTCCAGCAACTGGCATAACAGGTACGCCTTAACCCGCTCCACCACCTACTCAGACCCTTAAAAGAGGTGGTAATTTCGGAGTATTTAAATACACCAAAGATCACCACCTCCCAAGAGCACTAGAGCAAGTGAGGGGTCATTTATACGTTTATTTCATCAAGTCCCTGTTAATATGGGAAGACACAGTCTCTATGCTTAAGGCACAACTCTTCTAAACACGAGAGTGAAGTATACAACTTGATGAAATAAACGTATAAATGACCCTCACTTGCTCTAGTGCTCTTGGGAGGTGGTGATCTTTGGTGTATTTAAATACTCCGAAATTACCACCTCTTTTAAGGGTCTGAGTAGGTGGTGGAGCGGGTTAAGGCGTACCTGTTATGCCAGTTGCTGGAAGGCTTCTGTGCTGGCTAGGGTTCGAGTCTCCTGGTGGGAAAGTGTTCTAAAGTTGTATACTTCACTCTCGTGTTTAGAAGAGTTGTGCCTTATATATATATATATATATATATATATATATATATATATATATATATATATATATATATATATATATATATATATATATATATATATATATATATATATATATATATGTCGTACCTAATAGCCAGAACGCACTTCTCAGCCAACTATGCATGTCCCAATTTGCTTAATAAGCCAAGTTTTCATGAATTAATGTTTTTTCGACTACCTAACCTACCTAACCTAACCTAACCTAACTTTTTTTGCTACCTAACCTAACCTAACCGATAGAGATAGGTTAGGTTAGGTTAGGTAGGGTTGGTTAGGTTCGGTCATATATCTACGTTAATTTTAACTCCAATAAAAAAAAATTGACCTCATACATAATGAAATGGCTAGCTTTATCATTTCATAAGAAAAAAAATTAGAAAAAATATATTAATTCAGGAAAACTTGGCTTATTAGGCAAATCGGGCCTTGCATAGTAGGCTGAGAAGTGGGTTCTGGCTATTAGGTACGATATATATATATATATATGTCGTACCTAGTAGCCAGAACTCACTTCTCAGCCTACTATTCAAGGCCCGATTTGCCTAATAAGCCAAGTTTTCCTGAATTAATATATTTACTATAATTTTTTTCTTATGAAATGATAAAGCAACCCTTTTCTCTATGTATGAGGTCAATTTTTTTTTATTGGAGTTAAATTAACGTAGATATATGACCGAACCTAACCAACCCTACCTAACCTAACCTAACCTATATTTATAGGTAAGGTTAGGTTAGGTAGCCAAAAAAAGCTAGGTTAGGTTAGGTTAGGTAGGTTAGGTAGACGAAAAAACATTAATTCATGAAAACTTGGCTTATTAGGCAAATCGGGCCTTGAATAGTAGGCTGAGAAGTGCGTTCTGGCTATTAGGTACGACATATATATATATATATATATATATATATATATATATATATATATATATATATATACAATATATATATAGGTATACAAAATATATTTTACCTATATATATATAGGTAAAATTATTATATAAAATATATATATATATATATATATATATATATATATATATATATATATATATATATATATATATATATATATATATATATATATATATATATATGCAAACAAGCCTGAATGGTCCCCAGGACTATATACAACTGAAAACTCACACCCCAGAAGTGACTCGAACCCATACTGCCAGGAGCAACGCAACTGGTATGTACAGGGACGCCGCAACTGGTATGTACAGACGTCCCTGTACATACCAGTTGCGTTGCTCCTGGCAGTATGGGTTCGAGCCACTTCTGGGGTGTGAGTTTTCAGTTGTATATAGTCCTGGGGACCATTCAGGCTTGTTTGCATTTGTGTTCCTCACGTGTGCCCCAAAGAATGAGGTGATTTGATAAAATGCTATGCCCAAGATTACCATCCGAGTGCCGGCGGGGGGGTGGTTCAAATAGCTTCGGCTATCACTTCCTTATGTCCGGTCATGATGGTCAAGCGGATTAAGGCGTCCCTGTACATACCAGTTGCGTTGCTCCTGGCAGTATGGGTTCGAGTCACTTCTGGGGTGTGAGTTTTCAGTTGTATATAGTCCTGGGGACCATTCAGGCTTGTTTGCATTTGTGTTCCTCACGTGTGCCCCAAAGAATGAGGTGATTTGATAAAATGCTATGCCCAAGATTACCATCCGAGTGCCGGTGGGGAAGTGGTTCAAATAGCTTCGGCTATCACTTCCTTATGTCTGGTCGTGATGGTCAAGCGGATTAAGGCGTCCCTGTACATACCAGTTGCGTTGCTCCTGGCAGTATGGGTTCGAGTCACTTCTGGGGTGTTAGTTTTCAGTTGTATATAGTCCTGGGGACCATTCAGGCTTGTTTGCATTTGTGTTCCTCACGTGTGCCCCAAAGAATGAGGTGATTTGATAAAATGCTATGCCCAAGATTACCATCCGAGTGCCGGCGGGGAAGTGGTTCAAATAGCTTCGGCTATCACTTCCTTATGTCCAGTCATGATGGTCAAGCGGATTAAGGCGTCCCTGTACATACCAGTTGCGTTGCTCCTGGCAGTATGGGTTCGAGTCACTTCTGGGGTGTGAGTTTTCAGTTGTTTATAGTCCTGGGGACCATTCAGGCTTATTTGCATTTGTGTTCCTCACGTGTGCCCCAAAGAATGAGGTGATTTGATAAAATGCTATGCCCAAGATTACTATTCGAGTGCCGGTGGGGAAGTGGTTCAAATAGCTTCGGCTATCACTTCCTTATGTCTGGTCGTGATGGTCAAGCGGATTAAGGCGTCCCTGTACATACCAGTTGCGTTGCTCCTGGCAGTATGGGTTTGAGTCACTTCTGGGGTGTGAGTTTTCAGTATATATATATATATATATATATATATATATATATATATATATATATATATATATATATATATATATATATATATATATATATATATATGTATATATATATATGTATAGTACCTAGTAGCCAGAACGCACTTCTCGGCCTACTATGCAAGTAGGTTTCCTATTGGTTTATTTTAAATATTATTATTATATTATATTAAGAACATAAATTATTTATTTAGTTATGTTAGTTTAGGTTAGGTTAAAATGAGTTAGGTTAGGTTAGATAGGGTTGGTTAGGTTCGGTCATATATATACGTTAGTTTTATCTAAAATTTAAAAAAAATTAGCTCATACATAATGAAATGAATAGCTTTATCATTTCATAAGAAAAAAATTAGAAAAATATTGAAATTCTGGAAAACTTGGCTTATTTGGAGAAAAATTTGGAGAAAATTACAGAGGTTACCTACCTTGCTGCAATAATATGCGAATATAACTTAATGTTTTTGATAGCCAAAGATCCACTTGCGCCGTCTTGAGGGAGAAGGAGGAGGTTAAGAGACACACTGTCACAGGCAGCACTAGCACCGACGTCAGAGTGGCCGCCCATACCAGGGGAGTCAAGGGGAACAAGAAGCTCCAAGGGTCCTTCACCGGCTGTCCTCGTTTTCCCAGGATCTTCGATACTCCCACGTGCAATGGCCATGAGAAGTCGACTAGTTCAAGTCGATTGTAACTTATAACAAAGGGACCTAATGCGATATCTGCCTCCTGTGAAGATATGTAGGTTTTTGGAATCAACATTAAAAAAATATGATATTAAGTAAAATAGTACCACAGAGTACCACAGTGCTCTGCCTTCCCTTCATATCAAAACTCAAAAATCTCACTAATACCCTTCGTCCTCTAGACATAAAGCTCGCCTTTCGACAAACTAGCACTCTTCGTTGTAACCTGGTTTACCCTGCTCCTCCTGCTTCTAATGCTGCTGGTGACTACTCTATTTCCTGTTCGTCTTGTCTTCTCCAAAACTTTGCAGAAACTAGCTGAACACTTAATGACAGACTTTAAGATCACAAAAGAAGTGTTAAGTCTGCAGACATATACAATGCTCTCATTTGTCATGTCAGGGATTCTAATCATCTTATTGATTTGCCTTCTTCTAAAATAAACTTTCATGTCTCTACTCTTCACATACGCTGTCTAGTCGAATCGGCTCTGATTCGCAACATTCCCAACATGATCCTAAGTCCTGGCACTGTTGCTGTTGATAGCACACAACATTCTCCAATAACAGTGTAACATTCGAAGTGTCCAGTTCCCACCGATGATGATGATGAAGACTTAGCCACCCCAGAGGTTGCACGGTCATGAATAGCCCGTAAATGGAGGCTCTTGGGAGCCATTACCAGTATCAATAGCTGATACTGGAGATCTGTGGATGGATGGATTTTTGTTGTTGAAGGGGGGAGGGGGGATCAGTATCGGTGGGCTAGCTTTACCATCTATATGGCTGGTGAGTATGTGAAGATCCCTAGGTCTTCCGTTTTTTCTCAGTCTGAGTCTTGCTGCGAGTTGACATGGCTGTGCTGTATTGGAGTTCGATGATATGGCTTCCACATGGAGATCTTGTTCGGAGTAGGGGAAGTGATACGGCAATGGACCTCTTACTGAGATTTTCTCGTCTGAGGAGTCCGTGGCATTGTCCGTTGTTGATGGTTTTGGTCTCATAGTTTGAGGTTGACTATGAAGTCAATGAGTTATAGTACAAGCTAGTTCCGTCACCACGTCGGTGGTGTTGTTGGTGGTAGAAGAGCAGAGCACGTCTGCGAGTTTCCTCTGCTGAGATGGTGATGGTGGTAGCTTTTGGGGCTGGATTGGGGATTCTGCTGTTTGTGCAGCCTGGGTCCTTGGCGGAGCTGAAGTCTGAGTTGAGATCGACTTAGTGATCGACCTTGTGGAAGTCCCTTGTGTGGTATGGGAATTAGTGAGACATGGGTCAGGGGCTGTGATGGGGCCCAGGCCAATAGCTAGATACAATACATTCAGTTCCCAGACGAATCTGTGGTTATCTGGTCTGGCAAGCCTCCCCGCTATTCATTTAAGACTAGGTATAATGCCAGAACGTAATGCAATGGGAGGCGAGGGTGCTGGTTGGGCCTTGGGTCCCCATTTTAAAGGTTGGGTCGACTGGTGGGTTGAACCACTGTTTGGTAAGACTGGAAAGTTTTCTGGTTGGATGGTTGGTGGGAGCTGACGTGTTGGGTATAGAGTCAGGGGCTCTGGTGGCAGGGTTATTAGGGTTTGCTTTCTTGGCTTTTACCTGGGCCTTGATTTTTTTCTGTCTGTGGGAGCAGCCGTGAGAAATTGCAAGGTAATCGCCGTTGTAGAGCAGGCAGCGATGGGTTGTTGATTTACAGATGGAGTAAAAAAAGTCACGAGTATAGAGGCTGCACTTCTGGAAGGAGTGCTGACATTTGTTGGTGGGGAAGGAGAACTTTTAGCACTTGAAGTACTGTGGGAGCTCGTGATATCGTCTTTCCTTTTTAATTTGGTGGGGTGGTATCTTGATGCCGAAGCAATAGAAGCTTTGTGTGGCAGCATGAGTGACCATAGCTGCTGAGGTAAAAATTATCTTCATTGTTGCTTTATCGTCACTGCAGAACACGATGGTGAACACGCCCATGTTCGGATTTTCGGACTCGATATTTGTACTGATCTCACTTTCTGTGCGGTTAGTTATCCATGGGCTGGTCCTGCTGATAAAAGACTGATCTTTCGACTGGGAATTGGCACGGATAGTTGAGATAAAGGTGGTGCTCCTTGCGACGTGAGAAATCATAGCTCAGGAGTTTTTCTAGGTCCTCAGTACTTGTGAAGAAGAGACCGATATCTTCATCTTCCTGATTAATGTCATCTGGTGTGATGCCGACCCCGTCCTTGACGATTTTCAGAATGTCTCTTTTTCCAAAAGCATGACCCTTTAGGGGCGGGGGCCCTAACTTTTACACGTTTGGGTCGCATTTTGTCCTCTCTGCGACTCTACGGGTCGCAGTGGCAATGGATGTTTTTGAGGGAAAGTTTCAGGCTCTCAGGTGGGAGCCATAGGTGTGTGTGTCTGGCTCAGTTCCCACCCATACATTTTTTTTTTATATATATGGTCCGGTTCAAGAGAGGTGAACCTAATACGGAGTCAGAAAAGACATGTGTTGTGTGAAGGTTACCTACATTGAGGTTACCTTGAGGTGTTTCCAGGGCTTAGCGTCCCCGCGGCCCAGTCCTCTGATGTTGATAGAGTTCTCTCTTACAGTACCTGTTGCACCTCTACTTTTCAACGGGGGTATTCTGCACATCCTGCCATGCCTTCTGGTCTTATGTGATGTTATTTCTGTGTGCAGGTTTGGGACCAACCCTCTCTAATATTTTCCACGTGTAAATTATTACATATCTCTCCCGCCTGCACTCAAGAGAATACAGATTTAGGCTCTTTAGTCGGTCCCAGTAGTTTAAATGTTTTACTGAGTGGATTCTAGCAGTTTTTTTTATTATTATTATTTTCTACCACAAACGTGGCCACACATTTACAATGCTTACCAGAATATATACATTTTCTTCTGTCCTCCATGGACAGGGTTAGAGATGTGTTAAACATATAGTTCAAAGGTTTATTGCACAATCAATCACAGAAGGTGATTCGGTACTTTTAAAATGCTAAGCTAACCTACATATGTAAATACATAGATACACAGATTTACGTATGCCCTACATAAAGTGTTCGATGTGTCTTTTACATAGTGTCATTAATGCCCATTTACAAAGGTGAAATGCAATTCTGATCAGCTTCCATATGTACTTTATACACATACATATACATACACACACACACACATATATGTACACATACATATATACATACATGTTTACATACATATATACACACACATGCATTCACATACATTTGTCTCTTTTACCCTGACAGGGTGAGATAGCTGATAGAGAAACTAGTGTGCAATCAAGCACTTAATCACTGAAGGTGATTAAGGTGCTCTTACAAGCTCAGGTTATATAGTTACATCACATACATACATTATATAATTGATACATTACATGGTTAATCTTGGGTACAAGTCTAATATATCATCAAGTGTTCCAGTACTCATATAGTAATTACAGAGTTCAGCATACCTTAGCCCAGGAGGGCGAAAGTCAGTTAGTATGGGACATTCTACAATATAATGTTCAAGAGAGTGCATGTTTTCTCTTTCACAAAGTTGACACATTGTGTACTCGACATTTGAGTTTTGAGAAAGATGCCAGATACGTCTATATCCCAGGCGTATTCTAGCCCCTATAACATCACATTGCCGGGTTCTTGTTCTATTAGTCCCATATGTGAATGTCTCCTCACGATATCTATCATAATATTTAATGCTACAACTTTCCAGTCTGTGAATTTGTTAGGTCTAAGATCTTCATTAGATATTTGTTTAAGTATTCTCTTTATCACTGCTAATGAAACACCCGTATCAATTTCTACCACTGGTTTTCTGCAGGCTGTCTTTGCAAGCATTTCAACAGTGTCATGCCTTGAGATGCCAACATGTGATGGTATCCATAGGAATTTAATTTCAAATCTGTTTTCTTTAGCAGCTAAAACATTCATTCGAATATCACTGACTATTTTCTGGGTGTCACTACTATGTGCGTTCAATGCCAGGAGTGCAAGCAGTAAAGGATCTCTGCACGCTCTCCAGGTCAGCATTTTCTCCAGCTTTGAAAGGTGCTGTCATTGTGCAGCAGTACTCCACTCGAGAGAGCACTTGTGTCTTGAAAAGTATCATCATCGGTATAGCATCTCTAGTGTGAACGATTCTTGTTATCCAACCTGTCATTTTTCTTGCAGTTGTGACAGCTACTTTATTGTGTTCTTTAAAGGTAAGGTTTTCCGACATGAGTACACCCAAATCCTTTACATTGCCTTTTCGTTCTATGTTATGATTTGACTGAGTTTTGTACGTGGTTTCCGTTTTTATATTTTATTTTCTTTCCGTAGTGCATGAGCTGGAACTAATCTTCGTTAAACACCATATTATTTTCTGTAGCCCATAGAAAGACCAGATTTACATCTGATTGGAGGTTTGTCGTGTCCTCCATGTTGTCTACTCATGAAAATCCTAGTGTCATCTGCAAAGGATGATACAGTATGATGGGATGTGTTCCAACCTGTGCCTTCCTATTTATGGGATCACCATAGCCCATGTTACATGGAAATTTTAGTCCCGAGTAGCTAAATCTAAAAAACAACATCAACAACATAACTCCCACACATTCTCTTCAAAATCTCTACCACTTACGGGCTATTCATGACCGTGCCACATTTTGGGTGGAATAACCATCATCATCATCATCATCTAATCATCATCATCATCATCATCATCATCATCATCATCATCATCATCATCATCATCATCATCATCGTCATCATCATCTCCTCCTCCCATCACAATCGACTTTATAATAGTCCAGGACCGGCCTAAACATCCCCCGTTTCTTAATCTTGTGGTGTGTGGTTTGGTCATCATATATTTAGCCACAGTTATGGTGACTCATCGTCTGCATTAGGCAAAATATATATTGGAAATATGTGAAGAAGAAATTTTTTCCTTTGTTTCCTTTGTTTGGAATGGTAATCAAGTTTCTTGCTTGGGATGATTATAAAATCTCGTGTTAGGGATGGTAATCTGATCAATTTTCTTAATGAAACCAATTCGTGTGTTTGTGATAGTAATCAGGTTTCGTGTTAGGGATGGAAATTATGTCACGTTTGGGATGTCAATCAGGTTCTTGTACGTTTTATGAAATCCGACCTCACTATTGAGATGGTAGTCAGGTCTCGTTTAAAGAATGGTATTTAAGTTTTGTGTTGGATGTGATTAACATGTGATAAGTTTAGGTTGAATATCAGGTACAATGTTGGGGATTATAATCAAGTCCCATGTTTGGAATCGTAATCTGACAATTTGGAATGATAATTTGTGCAAAAGTGTTTGAGATTGTAATGAATTTTCGTGTCTGGATTGGTAAATTAACCTAGTGCTTGGGACTGTTTTCACGTCTCCCACTTGGGATGATAATCGTCTCTCGTGTTTGGGTTGGTAATTAAGTCCCGTTTATGGTATGGTAATCATGTCTCGTGTTTAAAATGTATTCAAGTATCATGTTTGAAATAGTATTTTTGTCTTCTGTTTGGCATGGAAATCTTGGGGTCATGTTTTAGATTGTTATTATGTCTCGTGTTTGTAATAAACAAGTGTCTTTCTTGATGCGGTAATCAATTTATCGAATTTGAAATGCATTTATAGTCTCATTTTTGGAGTGGGATTTATATCTAGCATTTGGGATGCAAATCAAATCTTGTAATAGGACGGTAATTAAGTCTTTTGTTAAAAGTGGTAATCTCGTATTTCGTTTAGAAACCAAGGCTCCTGATTGGGATTGTAATCAGATCTCGAGTTTGGGATGCTAATCAAGTTTCTTGTTAAAGATGGTAGTCAAGTCTCTTGTTAAAGGTCGTAATAAAGTCTTGTGTTTGGCATGATAATCAAGTCTCAGTTTAGGAATAGTTATTAGGTCTCGTCAAGGAATGCTTCATTAGTCGTTCCCTATACTATTCATTCATCACATTCCCTATACTCTCCTTATCAAACGAAGTAATAACATTTTAGTGATTATGAGCACTTACCTTTCTGATGGCTTTGTTCAACATGGTGCCAAAACTGCCGTCACGGTCACGAATGTAGGTGTACCTGTTCGAAATAATAAATATTTATAGTTTGAACCAATATACAAATACTCTGAGCATACTATCGATTGTACTGTAGGATTTCCAACACTAACCGAAAAATATAGATCATTAAATACCGACAACCTATTTATGAAGAACTTTCAAGAGACCAGAGGGAAAGAGACTGAAACTGAAAGAGACGAATGTTCTCTTTGCCGTGCCTTGGGGACTGCGTGCTTCAACGATTTCAATATATAGATAAGAAAAAAGGTTCTAAAGAAGGGTTTAATCCTGGGATGTGCATACTCTTGGGGCATGCCAGGTGTCAATAACGGTGTATTCACCTAGCTGTACAACTGTCTCATCTAGTTGTGCTTGCGGGGTTGAGCTTCGGCTCTCTGGTCCCGTCTCTTAACTGTCAATCAACTGGTGAAGTGAGCCTATTGGGATCTATCATATCTACATTTGAAATTGTGTATGGAGTCGGTCTCCTCCACATATTTGCCTAGTGCATATTTCATTTAATAACTACTTTGTCACTGAACAAATTTTAATGTCTCTGTAGCTTATTTGGATACTCAGTTTCCACTTCTATTCACCTAGTTGTGATTGCGGGGGTTGAGCGCTGCTCTTTCGGCCCGTCTCTAAACTGTTAATCAATCGACGGTTACTAACTACTACTAACTATTTTTTTCACACACCCGTATAAAGCAGCTCGTAACAGATGTCTAATTCCCAGGTACCTATTTACTGCTAGGTAACAGTGGCATCAGGGAGAAAGAAACTCTGCCCATTTCTGTTTCCGCCGGCGCCAGTAATCGAACACAGGACCACACGACTACGTATCCAGCGTGCTGTCCACTCAGCCACCAGTGCCCTGTACAAGGGGACACTTGTGTCCCCTTATTTATATTACGTTTTGCTTAATAGTTTGTATTTATCCACCCTGTCAATTCCTCTGAGAGTCTTGTTGGTGGTGATCATGTCTCCCTCTCTTCTGTCTTCCAGCGACGTGAGGTTTAGTTACCGTACCTAGGGGATACACCAGGCTCTAGTCTCATGTTCATTGGTGACGGTATTTTAATTAAATTTTTTGGGAGGATTTTATATTATTTAATACTATGATAAATTTCAAGTTATTGAGACTAATGTTAGGCACAAGATTTAGCATACGTCGTGGTGCATGTAGCAGACGGTACTCGAAATTAGGGTTCAGAAGAAAAAGCGACGTTATGCTTAAGAATATATTAGGTTCAAATTCACTGTCTTCACTAAAAATTGAAAAGTTGCACCTCAATGTGTTCATCTGTGTAAAAGTAGTGTCCACGGTCCGTATTCACGAAGCAGTTACGCAAGTACTGACGAACGTGTTCATCTTTCTTTAATCTTTGATGGCTTTGGTTACATTTATTAAACAGTGGACAAGCATGAAAACTTCCCAGTCAACTGTTGGTATTGTTATAAACAGCCTCCTGGTGCTTCGGAGCACATTAACTGTTTAATAATTGTAAACAAAGCCGGCACAGAATGAAAAAAGATGTACTGGTTCGTAAGTGCTTGCGTAACTGCTTTGTGAATCCGGGTCCTGGAAAATATGTGTTATCCTTAAATCCAAAGAAACTATGTTGCACTATGCAAGTCAGGATCGTTCAGTTAGCATTCATTAGTCATAACTGTTCTTCGTGCTTCGTATGTGTCACTGAGGATTGCTCAGCAGGAAAGTCCTTACTCCACTGGCGTGGGCTATGATCCTGGTATGTAAAAATGACCCAGTAAAATTTATGATGGGGGAGCAATATGCTAATTAACTAAATATTTTTTATATTGTCCACCAAAATATATCTGACACGGCCATAGATATCAGAGACAATTTAGTTTCTGAGATGAAAACCTTCTCTATAGATATATATGCTATCCTGTTGGATGAAAACAAATATAATCGTGCTTAATTGTTGGCTTTCACGAGATTCAAGCAAGACTGTTTTAAGGAAGTGCTTCTTTTTTGTCAACAGCTTGAAAATTCAACTACAGTTGCAAATATTTTTACCTAGTTAATTCTATCTTCGAACCTGAGGAGTCTACAATGGTAGATGTTATTGTACAACAGATTGAACTCCTACCATGCTCGCCAGTCAGTTAAGATTTAAAGCAAGAATTAAAGTTGTAAAGAAGAGGTAAAACATTTCCAGTCGATGGTTCACAAATAGTCTTTAGTCTCTATGAAACTGGCTACTAAATTAAACAATGCGATTGATCGACTTCGTAAAGTCAGGTGCTAGAATATTAGTCTGTTTAACCTTATGTTCTGAGATTTAGATTTTGTTTAAGAAACATTGTGAATCACAGATGTTCGGTGGTGTTCACAAGAAAACATTGTCAGGAGATTTTTGAATTAAAGCATCTGCAACTCTTTTTTTTCTTATATTTTTCCGCCGAAATTTTCTGAACAAGGGTTTGAAGAGATTGTCATTGATTTTGTTGATACACTGAAGCGCTTTCTAATAAAACTAGAATTTTGATTGATAAAAGACATGTTTTCTCCACTTGCTGACATGTAGGGCACCACAATCTCAGACCAGTTGACAAATTATGACAATCTCAAACCAGTAGAACAACTTTCCTCACTGTAAAATTTAGTAAATCGATGCTTTCTATATAATCTAAAATGTAGTCGCGACCGACTGTGGAAGCTGACCTGCGGTGACTCATTGCCAAACGCAGTCCTCGGCGCCCTGTGCTTGTAGCCCAAACAAGCTCTTTGACTTCTGGGGTGTTTAGCCCAAACATATACCTCGGCTTCATGGGATGAGTCGGTGGATTCTCTGAATTGTCTGATAACCAGTATTGTATTGGTGATTGGACCGACGTATCCCGGGATAGCCCAATTTTATGTCTGTCCTCTATGTTAAGGCTTGTTATTAGTGAAGCCTTTTAGGGGAAGCCAGCCAGCGTGTTGTTGGAGAGTCCAAGTGGTGTTTTGACACTGTGGTAATACTGTGGAGGACTGGCCCATGATTTGCTGAGAGAGGTGGACTCGCCAGTGTGAGTTCCGTAGAAGAAAGGCTCAGCAAAGAAGCCTTGAGTGTTGTTTGAGAGAAGATAGCTGGGATAGAATAGAGAGAATAACTCGCTGGGATAGAAGATCACAGAAGTTCATTTGTAATGTCGTGTGGGAAAGTGACACCTGCAGTGTTATCATGTGTTGTACATATGTAATAAGTGTATATAGTTAAGAAATACACGTGGTGATGGTTTTGTTTAGTGTTGTTTACTCCCATGCTTGTTGGATTCACTATTACTGCTAGTTCCTAATAATTTACCTATGATTTGGGGTTGGATCTGGTAAGTAGAGGCATGGAAAGAGGCATTGAATGGAAAGAACCCAGTTAATAGCTAAGTGAGGCCGAAACATAATTGACATTCCCAACGGGATCCGACTTCTTCTCGGTTAAGTTAGACGGGATCGAGCAAGTCATTAATGCAACACTCTTGTACAAATTCCTTTTGTGTTTAAGTGCAGTGTTAAGGGAGTGAGCGATGGAAGATAAAACTTTAATTGATACACTGGACGATAGTCAGGAGTTCTTAAACCAGGAGAAATGCCCTTCTAAATAGAAATGTTTAGAGAAATCCGAGTTAGTGTTGATAAGCGAAGGATTAAAAATTAAAGAAAATGATTCGCGAGTCGAGGTCCTGTCGAAAGTTTATAGTCATTTGAAATCTGGTGACAAACAGGAAAGTATAGTCCGTAGCAAAGTAACGAGTGTTATGACTACAACTTACAAAGTAGACCAAGAAAGTGATAGTGAGAGTGACCCAGGTGAACTAAACATGAGCCTGTTGACAGTAAAACTGCGATAATTATAAATAAATCGTGAAATCGAATTGAAAAGGTTGGAAAAAGAAGAAAGGAGAGAAAAGAAGAGAGAAAGAGAAGAAATAGAGAAACAATGGAAAATAGAAGGAAGGAGAGAAAGAGAAGAAATAGAGAAACAATGGAAAATAGAAGGAAGGAGAGAAAGAGAAGAAATAGAGAAACAATGGAAAATAGAAGGAAGGAGAGAAAGGAAAGAGAGAGTATAAAGGAAGAAAGAAAGGCCCACAAATTGGAAGAGCTAAGATTAGGTGGTAGAAGGGAATGCAGTGGTTTCGACCCAGAGCAGAATATAAAAATGGTTCCTAAATTAATTGAGAAGGAGGTGTCCAAGTTCTTTGCTGCCATCGAGAAAGTAGCTGCCTCATTAGACTGGCCAAGGGACAATTGGGCTATTATGATTATATCAGTACTAACTGGGAAAGCCCAAGTAGCATAGTAGTATAGGCATCCTTCAGTATAAAGACTATGGAGTTGCGCCCTGACATATCTACCTACCCAAAGCCTGGGTAGGTAGATATGGAGGAGAAGCTGTTACCCATGCAGCAGGTCCCCCTTCTCAACGTTGCTGAAATTATCCAATAGAAAGGCAAATGCCAATACACATGATTCCAGCAACGTCGCAGGAGCTGCCAGAACGAGGTCGACGTCAACAACGAACTGCCTTCGGGGCTCCAACTCCGGATTTTTCCTCGAGGTTGACTCCTGAAGCCTTTCCCAAAAAAGGGGTATGGCCGCAAGGCAGCGGAGGTTTAAAATAAGGGTTTACCTTCCCCTAGATGGGCTGCCTTCCCAGGCTATCGCGTCCCATCTACCCGGAAAAGCTGGTTTTAAGGCGCCAGAAGCACGCCCTCGCCCCTTCTCCTGTCGGTAAAAGCAGTTCCGCCGGACTATAGGACTAAGCCACCCGTGCAGGCCAGGAATTGGACTTGGTTGTCAGGGGCTATTGGAGGCGCATGCCATATAGGAGCATTTTATAGGTCATGGGAGCTCGTCCCCCATTACCACCACCTGGCTATGACAACCTCTTGGAACCCCACGGAATACATGAAAGTAGCATACTCCACACTGTCTGTTAGTGACTCGAGTGACTATGACGCTGTCGAGAAGGTGGTGATGAAGGCTAACAAGTTGGTGCCTGAAGCATA